ACCTGAATATTTTAATTAGCCAAACTAGGAATTAAATGTGAGGCTAGAATTAAGACATTTGCAAGTTGGCAAGATCTCCAAAAAAAAAACCACAAAAAAACAAACAAAAAAAACCTTTCTCTAGAAGGTTCCATATTTTCTTGCTGCCAGCCATTTCCTATGTTGGCATTCGCTTACATTACTTATTAGGCCACTGGCCACTTTTCTATTTTTCAGCTGAACTCGTGTCCATTCTGGAAGGACTTTCTGTTCCTGCCAGTAGGGGGCAGTCTTCCCACCCTGATGCTCCTGACTCCCCTATAGTATTTCTACTCTATTAACATGATCTAAGGCCAAGACTTTTCTCCCCAAACAAACAGGAAAAGCTTTCTGCAGTCGGCTTATTTCTTTTTTGTGGCTCTGGCCTTGTAGCCTGTGTACTCACCAACGGTGCCTAATACAATTTCCCCACCAAGGTGCTATGCACCAATGAGAGAACAGTCAATTTAAAATTTCACGTTAATCCATTCTACTAAGGAGACTGCACTGAGCCTACTTCAAGTCTGTGCCAATCCCTTCCACAGTCAGACTTCCTAACTCTGAGTCTCTGCACCTAGAGCAGAAGGCATCAGTTCTGGGGAGTAAGAGCGAAAAGAAAAAAGTTATTCTTTCAATTAACCGAAAAAAAAAAAAAAAAAAAAAAAAAAAAAAAAAAAAAAATAATCACATAAAAGAAAAAAAAAAAAAAAAAACAAAAAAAAAAAAAAAAAAAAAGATGGTCCGATGACCCAGCAATTTCACTCCTAGATATATACGATCGAGAAATGGAAACATATGTTCATGCAAAAACTTGTACGCGAATGTTCATCACAGCATTATTCACAATAGCTCAAAGTGGAAACAAACCAGATGTCCACAGAACGATAATGGATAAATATATACATACAATGGAATATTACTGGGCAAAAAACAGGACTGAGGTACTGACATATACTGTAGCAGGGTGAATGCGGAAAACATCCCTAAATGAAGGCAGCCAGTCCCAACAGACCACCTACTGCACGATTCCAATTATATGCAAGATCTACAGAGACAGAAGGTTGGAGAGTGGCTAGGACGGGGGCTTGGGAAAAAGGCCCTCGAGTGCTAGCTCAGAACACGGGATTTCTTTAAGGGGCAATGAAATGTTCCAAAGTCGATTGTAATGATGGTTGCACACCTCTGTGAATATTCCCCAAACCACCAAATTGTATATTTTAAGTGCGTGAATGAATTACACCCCAATAAAGAGGCCTTTCAAAAAAGATAATTCTGGGAGTAAATTAAGTCCATGTACTACTTGTCTCGAAGGCAAAAAAATCAAAGGGCACCAGCTTAAATAAGGCAAGATTTGCAAAGCGGCAGAACTGAAAAGGAACAAAACAAAACGTACCTTTGGGATGAAAACACCAAGTTAAATTAAAAAAAAAAAAAATCAGGTCAGCTGATCTTTCTTTGTCTGAAAATTAATACATAATTTGTTCACTGTAGAGTTTACCAGTTGAAGAGAAACCATAATGAAAAGTACTGGCTTTTACTGGAATCACGGAGTGCCTGGTTAGAGAACCTTTTGTAGGTCACTTAATTTCAAAAGGCAATGTCTCTAGTTGTATTCCTCGCCCCATCGCCTTATTTCACAGACCCGTTCTCGAGGGCAATTAATGGGTAATGTCGTTCTTACTTAAAGAGGGCCAAGATCTGAAAAGGCTGCTGCGGTTTATTCCAGGCCCTCTCCCAGGGATCTCACCGCACGTGATCTGCGGGGGCAGTGAGATACAGCGCCCACTGAGAAAGTCTGCCTGCCGGAGGGATGCTATCTATAATGATTACAACAGAAGTGTGGGAAACTTTTGATTCTTCCAAGATGGTCATGCGAAGTGTTTTCGACTATCTAAAATTAAACGATGAATTCATGTATTTTTAAACTTTAAAAGCTTCCTTTTAAAATAGGGCCCACAAAGTCGTACTGACATAAAGGCCTGGTGGGAGGGGAAGGGAGAAAATAAGCTAATGAGGGGCACCTGGCGGTGGACTCCATCAGAAGGGCACGAGACTCTTGATCTCAGCGTCTTGAGTTCAAGCCCCACGCTGCCTGCAGAGATTACTTAAGAATAAAATCTTTTTTTTTTTTTTTTAAAGATTATACTTATTCGTTTGACAGAGAGAGAGAGCGAGAGAGAGAGAGCGCGAGTGAGCACAAGTAGGCAAAGCAGCAGGCAGAGGGAGAGGGAGAAGCAGGATCCCGCAGAACAGGGAGCCCAAGGCTCTCCTATCCTAGGGCCCTGGGATCATGACCTGAGCCGAAGCAGAGGTTTAACAACTGAGCCACCCAGGCACCCCAAGAATAAATTCTTAAAAAAAAACAACAAAACAAAACAATAAGCTAATTAAAAAGCCATCTCCAACCCCTCTTTTGCATTTCTTCTTCAGAGGTCCTGGAATTAATAAACCAGACCTACCAAGCCATGAGTTTCACATAAAGCACACTTAAATCCTAGTCCTTCCATGGTCTTTCAGAATATATTCAAATTCTCACCTATCCTAGTGTAACTCATTTGAATACATCAAAGGTTTAAGACATGGACCTAATGGGGCACCTGTTGTTTAAGTGTCCCACTCTTGGTTTCAACCTAGGTCAGGATCTCTGGGTCATGAGATCGAGCCCTGTGTCCAGCTCCTCCTTAAGCCCTGAGTCTGCTTAAGATTCTTTCTGCCTTCCCCTCCGCACCCCCTGCTCCTGCTCTCTCTAAAATAAATAGATAAATCTTTTAAAAAAACCAAAAAACAAAAAAACCCTAATTTTAAGGAAGAAAAATGGATGTCAATAAACCATTTTCATTAAACAGAAAACGTTTTGATTGTTTTGCCTTGGTTTTAAATTATCTTCGTTTTTCTTTCATCTTCTACATTATTTGTAATGATAAACTTTTTAGTCTGTATGACAAGTAACATGAACCTGGTTTGATTTGGGAAACAGGATTTTGGTCCATGCTGGTTAAAAGATATTTAAAATTTCTACACAGCTGGGTCACTTTAACTGAGGGCTTACAACACACGGTTATGGACAAAAACTCCCCAACCAGATAACTAAAGACTTTGAAAACCAAACCTATAAAGACAGTGGATTATACGATCATGTGATACGAATCTGAGAAACTGGTTAATTTTGGTATGTGAAAATCACATGAATAAATTAGTGCAAATAAAATTTATTTCTGGAACACAGACTTATTTTTTTTTCCAGACTCTTCTTTGCACCCCGATACAAAATACAAGGATTCAGATTCTCAATCTCGACATATATTCGCTACACTGCAAACATGTGGCAACAAACTTCACTAGGCATACCTCTGTTGTTTTTCTCCATTAATTTTATATTTTTTTTAATTGTGTAAGAACATTTCACAAGCAATCTACCCTTTTAACATACGAAGTGCTACATACAGTTGTGCTAACTCTAGGCACCACGTTGTACAACAGATCTCTCGAATTTATTCATCTTGCATAACTGCAACTTTCTGTTGATTAGCAACTCGCCACTTCCTCCTCCTCCTCTTCCTCCTCTTCCTCCTCTTCCCAGCCCCTGGCAACCACCGTACCACTCTCTGCTTCTAGGAGTGTGACTGCTTTAGATGCCTCCTCTAAGTGGAATCACACAGGGTTCATCCCTCTGCGATTGGCTTATTTCACAGAGCATTATGTCCTCCAGCTTCATCCATAGTGTCTCCCCATAATGTTTTAGATGGGGGACACCTGGAAGAGATTAGTTGATGGCAACTGGGCCACACCTAGCTTTATCAGCTCCCCACTCCCGCTGTTTACGACTTGTCTTGCAGTCAAGATGGTGTCAGATCTGGAAATGACTGCCCTGCTGGATGAGGTGAGAACACTGTTTTGATGTATGGAAAGACTGCTTTTTAAAAGTCAAGGCCTCCTGGCTGTTCCTCGGCAAACTACTTTGGCAGCTGTGCTAGAGGCCATGAATATTACATAAGGGCCGTCCATGCATTCCAGCCAGAATCTCCAAGTCACAATTCCCATAGCAACACACAGAGATTTTACTCATCTCGGAAGAAGCAGCCAGCAAGAGTGTCTAATGCCACCCCTGATTTTTTTTTTTAGGCAAGATCAACACAGTACTTCTTTTTCCAAATCAATTTTTTTTTTCCCAAAAGAAAACCAACCACCATGAGAAATGGGTTCATTTCAAGTTACCCAGATCCCAAGGATATAACCAAGACACCGTAAACTTGAACGACAATCTATGCTTTTAGAAATGGTTGCCATTCGAATGACTGCATGTGAAAAAGAATTCACATCGTTATAATTAGTGAAACGAACCACTGTCTTGGTTAATACTGTACTTACAGATCTTATCTCTGATTTCCAGTCCCCCTTCCATAGATACACACTTCATTATATGATGGAGAACAGGTTCCAAGGGAAGGAACACTTTTAACTGATAAAATCTTTTATGGCTTATTTTTGAAAAGCATTACGCAATCTATTTTTTCAATATAAGAAAATATTACTATAGAACATCTATGGAGTAAAATTTGGGGGAAAGACTGTTCAAGCCTATGAAAATACACATCACCTTGAAGAAAGTTGTTTTTCTGGGCAGAGGAATGGTTTACTGGAAAAATGAAGTGAAATCATTCTGTTACCAGAAGTAGATTTTTCCCCTTTGTATATCTGGGCATCCTTTTCTGTGTGTCTAAATAAAATATCCACCTACAGAAATGAGTTGGTTGGATTATAAAACGAGATAAAAGCCAGGACCACTCTTATCTATCACCCTGCCTTTTTCTATCAAGGAAATCAAATACACTCCCTTTCTTGCACTTGTTTAAAATCAGACAATGACACACTGTAAGAGTCCAAACATATGCTTTAAAGGAAACTTCCACAGGTGGCCCATCTCAGACCCGGCGCGACTGGCATGCCAAAGAAAGACCTTGGCAGGAGAGAAATGGTTTTACCTTTGCTTTTTCCAGCTGGGCCTGGGCCTGTCGCTCTGCTTCTCTGCGCACTGCCTCCCGATCTTCCTCCAAAGAAACATCTGAATCGGATGGACGGCTGGTGTAGGAGTCTGCCGAACCCTTGAGAGAAAAATTTGCATTTTAAAACAGATCCCATCTATGATGTTTGCATTGGAAAAGTCTCATTGACACAGCAGTTAGCTTCCTCGACTCGGCTATAAATTCCTGAAAAGAGGAGAAAATAATCCATTTTGTGGCAAGCCATCTAGAAACCTCATGCTCTCCTTTGCAGACCATTCCCTGGGATAGTTGCGCCTACCAAGTTACCATTCCTTCCCCAGGCTGAGGGTTCCAAGGACTATGCTTTCTGGAAGCCTGAACAAGTTCCTTTATAATTAAACCGGCTCCGTGGTGCAGTGCCCAGCTGAAGGGCATAGAGGGGTTTCAAGGATGGCTTTAAGAAGAGACGACAGGCTAAATCAAGTATTTACAACGAGGAAGAAGATACGACTAACTAAAAAACATAAAAGAAAGCCTGACGAGTTATAAACTTCAATTCTCTGCCGCGACTCCCCTTTTAACATTAAGCATCCTTCGGTACCTTTCCGTTCACCTGATACCTTCACTGACAAAACTGTAAGACGACAGCAGCCGGCTTCACTCCATCCTCAGGCAACACATTTTTTTTTCCCCATAGCTTTAAACAGACATTTAATAAACGCTGCCTAAAGAAAACACCTGCCCAGGATAGCTTCTCTGGCAATAAATAACAACGTAGGAAAAGGAGCTCAGAAAATTACAGGACTCTCCCTCACTCCCTCTCTTGCAATCAGGCTCAGATTACTAAATCACGGGAGCCCCTGCCAGCACTCACTGGAAGGACAGCAGCAGCAACGACAATATAGAGTCTCCCCCAGATGAAAGCCCTTGAGCTTACACAGATATCCGAATTCTTCAGCCTTCCTCCCTTGGCTCTTTTCAGAAGCCTGACCCAGGTGGCCTTCATTAGCCAGACAGCGCCTTTCTCATCCGCAGCTGCAGCCCCGGGCACAGATCCTGAGTGTGCGCTGAGCCCTGGAGCGCCCGGGCTCCTTTCCTATCCATGCTCTGGGCAAGCCCCTCTTCTCCGTCCCTTCCTGCCTCCGGGGCTTTCACGCCTTACCCCGGAGGACTCTGATCCAAGGAGATTCTTATTTTCCCATTCCGGGCGCGGGGGTGCAAAAAAACCAAAAAACCAAAAAAAACAAAAACCCTCCAAATGCCTTATATTGCTTTAAAAATAAAGAACACTTCAAGTGCATTCAAAGACAGGCATCAACTCGTTCTAAACTTGATGCATCTTATCACACTCAATATTCTCTGCTCTGGGATTGTTACAGGAAATTAGTTGTAAGAGAACCTTTAAAAAAAAAAAACCCTAGTGCAAAACGTATGCAGTGACATTTGCAAGTGCAAAGTTCAAGCCTTATCTTCAGAGATCTGGAGGGGGAGGGCGGAGGACGCACTCACCGCACTGGGCATGCTCCATATGTAGCCTTTTTACGCAGATGCCTACATCACACTGTTAGTCTATGTCAAATTGCCATTTTGCATCCGAAGTGTAAACAGCTGGAAAGGGCTTTTCAGTTCTATAGTAACAGGCACATGGTATGTCTGTCATGTAGCCATTGCAGTTGAAACATTCTCCAGAGACAAAGCATGCAATCTTTTCATTTAACGATCGCTTTCCATCACCCTGCTGCAGAAAGTATATCCTGTGCCCTAAGACAATTCAAATATAAGCAATATGATACACACGTTATTGGACAGGAGAAACCAATGAAGATGCTTATCAGTCAGAGCATCAACCTGCCCTTGATTGTTTGTGACTTTCCAAACAAGATGCAGGAGACCCATTTGCCCCTTTAATTAGGACATGAAAGTAATCACAGCTCAAAGCAAGGAGTTTAACTGAGCTCAAAATGACTTTGAACTGCTTCTCCAACTGAGACCGTTTGAAAGAAAGTCCGTAGACTGAATAACAGTATGAATTTTCAGAACAGTAACTATGAAGAAATTGCAAAGCTTGGTTGGTTGATTAGCTCGAGTTAAGATTTACAGAATAATTTAGTCCAAGTTCTTCTTATAAATAAGGTGACTGAAGTTTGAGAAGAGAAGATACTAATTTTCTGTACTAATTGGATTGCATTTTTAAAGTTCTCTGAAGAAATACACACTTCTAGATCTCTTAAAGTAAACATAAAATTCCATCACTGCTTTCCAAATTACAGTTTTTTTTGGCATGGTGGGGAGGGGATTATTCTGTAAAGTCTCATGCAAATGAAAGATGTTTTTTAAGAAAATCTTTGTTACTTTGTTACTTTTTCTCTCCAACCCAACTTTTTCTCCCCCCAACCTTTCATCTACGGACTAAGACCAATCTTCATGATGTAAATCCTAGAAAATACAGTAGAATAGAGGCTTTTGAATAAAAGTTACAGATTGAATGCACCTTAATTGTGGTATCATAAATCAATGACCAGAATATTTATATTCTTGTGAAATGAATGTAAAATGTATGGGAGATACCAAATGCATTTTTTTTATTCCAATAAGATTCACAACAGGAAACATAGGTATTTTTCCCCCCACCAACTCATATCCTAGGGGATCCCTAATCTTCCCAGAGAGCTTCTCAGCAGGAGTAGCATGGTACAAAATTACCAGGAAGCATAACTCTATCCCTAAACGGGCCTCAGGCCCATTGTCACAAGTGTTGGCATTTTATTTATTTATTTTTAATTTTAATTTAATTTTTTTTCAGTGTTCCAAAAGTGTTGGCATTTTAAACTCAATCACCCTGAGGAAGGTTCAGTTCACACCTCAGTGAGGATACAAAGTTTCTGTCCTTAAGAAACCCCATAATATGGAGAGGAAGAGCCGGACACACACATAATTGTGTGCTATCCTCTTCCCTTCTGAACAGAATAAGATTTAAAAAGTCCTTGGCTAATAATCAGATGTAGCTTTTAATTGCACAATCATGTTGAGACCTGTTTCCAGGTTTAAATAATAAAGCATTAAAAAAAAACAAAAAACTAACAACTCTACAGTGACTTTTGGCAAAGATCTTTTGAATATTTGCAACAATATATTAACTTTTGGCTCTTGTACAATATGAGATGGGACTCTCAACTGATGTGTAATGTAGCTTATAGAGAGTCACGATTCTTCCATCATTCTTTTTATCTGTATTAATAAGAGCAAAATGGCAAAATTGTTTCATTACAGAAGTTGCATGAACCCACTGCAGAGAGAGACACACAAATAACGGTCACTTTCAATTCTCCCACCCAAAGATAACCACTATTAAAGAGAAACATGTTTTAGCCTCCAGAATTCTTGTGTTTTTGAAAGTCACCCTCCCCACATGCGCATTACAATTAATCTGCTTCCTTCTGGGAGTGTGGATTTATGCAATTAGAAGTAATATATCTAATTAGGCTTTTGCCTTTGGTACCATATGGACTTTCTGGGTCATTCTGCCTCAAGTAGTCTTCAGTCAGGAACAGCTGGCAGGCCATTCCATAACTCCAGAATAGGTTATTACAAGATGTACCCTGGATCTCTTGGGTTGCTACAATGTGATTAGCTGGTCTTTTACAGTTTTGTCCTTGAAGCTACCTCCCATGTTCAGCTACAAATATTTCCTTTTCTACACCTTAATATTCTCATTTCTCATTGTAGAGTACCAAGATGTAACTTGCAACTTGACATTTACCAAAACTCATTCCGGATCATTCACTTTTATCCTCAGAACTCTTACTCCAAATATGTGTGCATTGCTTATGGGAAAGTTAGTTAAATTGGATTAACTCGTGCTTTTAAAAAATTTTTATTAATTTTTTAGAGAGGGAGAGAGGAAGTGGTGGGGAGGGGCAGAGGGAGAGGGAGAGACGCTTAAACAGACTCCACACCCTGAGTTCATGACCTGAGCTGGGGGCTCGATCTCACAACCCTGAGCTCATGACCTGAGCTGAAATCAAGAGTCAGATGCTGAACTGACTGAGCCACCCAGGTGCCCCTAACTCACACTTTTTATCTACTCTTCAGTTTTTGTCTTTTTCCAATTTATGCCAAATACATACACAAAAAAAGTGTCTCCCTTTTCCTTTAACACCTTTTTTCTATATTTATAAAGTTTGCTTTTTTGATGCTGTACTCTGTTTCAATCATATATCTTTCCAGCATCCATCATTTTTCTGGAGTGTTCTTTTTCTTGTATTTTCTCTTTTAAAGCCAAAAGGGTAAGAGTCATAAGCCTATACAGGAGTAGCATCTTGGATCCCAAAGTGGTCATCTATTTCTGTAGAAAATCTTCATATGAAAGCAATGCTCTTGGGAAAAATAGATTTCTCACAGTATCCCAAGGCTACCCTGATTCTAGATAAATCTATGTTCCATCCCAATCCCTTAAGACTTCAAATGACCCTCCACATGTATAGGTCAATGCTAAGCCAATGGCAAGTTTGATTTCCATTGTTTCCTCCTGACCTGCCATGGGATAGATAGACATCCCACTGCCATACTCTTCAGGCCCACTTTCAGAAAAAAGCAAGATGTGATGGACTTCTGAGGCCAAGGACCAATGGGAAGAGTTCTATCTTGTATTATCTGCTTGCATTAGCTGGCAGAGATAATTCTTCTATTTCTCCTATTGTCATCTCTTTTCACAGGTCAGAAGAATTTTTTTTTTTTTTTCCTGTGTAGAGATCTGGATCTTTAAGAAAATGAATTGCTAACCCCTGCATTGTTGAGGTTACAACAAAACCATAAACTGTTCACTAATGATAAGACCCTGACTCCAAAAATTTTAAAGTGGTAGACCACTGAGATGAAGTACATTTACATGAATAATGTATACTTTGGTTTGCAAATGTCATGGAATTACTATTCATACCCATTCAATTAATGAAATTCTCAAATGTGATTGGCCTCCCATTTGGCTTAATGTGAAACATTAACCAAGGTCATGGTAATAAATCCATGTGAGTTCATCCCTGTGTGGTAACTTTGATGATTATAAAAAAGCTAAGATATTAGCTTCAATTTTCTCAAGAGCACAGGGAAATTTAGAAACTTTTTGTAATTGCCCTAGGTACTGACAAAAGGACTAAATGTTACCCAAAGCAAAACCAAAACCCAACCACATGCATTTACTGAGTACTTCCTACTTTGTAAAAGTGTACCATGCTCTGACTCTAAGTTAAATGCTGGGAATATGATAGAAAAGATGAAAGCTAAGTTCCCATCAGGGAGCCTAATAATCTAGTTGAAAAGGAGACCAATTTTTTTTTTTTTTTAAGTAATCAGAAAAATAATCCCAATAAGAAAACACAAAACAGGCTGAGAAAGAGAATAATGGCAAGCAGGAGCTATTTTAGTTAGGGTTATGAGACAACATTCTGAGATGTTATTGAAGCTGAAATATCCCATAGGAAAAAGACGAAAAACAAGTTAGCTTTAGAATGTTGAGAAAGGCAATGTGTGGGAAGACAGAAGCGCATCTCCTAAGGCCTGAGGACAAGGTTTACTCAGCAGTTTGAGGAAGTGAAAAGAGATCAGTGTAGTTTAACATGATCCTTTTTCCAGAGGACAAATTTCAGTCTCTCCCTCCTTTATTCCCTCCTCTTTCTTATTCTGCAGGTAGATACACACTGAGGCACACCTGCATTAGGGGTTTGGGGAATCCTTCTCATTTTTTTTTTTTTTTTATATTTTATTTATTTATTTGACAGAGAGAGAGATCACAAGTAGGCAGAGAGGCAGGCTCCCCGATGAGCAGAGAGCCCAATGCGGGGCTCGATCCCAGGACCCTGAGATCATGACCTGAGCCGAAGGCAGAGGCTTTAACCCACTGAGCCACTCAGGCACCCCGAATCCTTCTCATTTATGGGACATCACCTCATAGACTCCTTATCCCTGTGACATTTAAGTTGTTAGTAAAGTCCACATTATGAGGAAAATCATGTCTTCTGACACTTAAACAGAGTTCTCAGATTTTCTTCCTTCTAAATCCAGCGCTCTCTCCCAAGAGTCTGTCTCTTTTTCGGATAGTGGTATGTTAATAATTAGAACAATCAATTTATTAAGATTAGGCTATCTATATGAATGATCATAATAATAACTGCTGATTTTTTTTTAAAGATTTTATTTATTTATTTGACATAGAGAGAGAGAGATCACAAGTAGGC